ATAATAAAATTTATAATGAATTTTAAGTAAAAATCAAAAAAAATCGATAGGTTTAATAATAAAAATTTATGTTAAAATTAATTAAAATTGTTTAAAATTGCAGGCATATTTGCCTGCAATTTTTTACCATTAAAGGGATAATAATTTTGGTTATTATATTATTTTGATTTTAAGAATTACTTAGACTTTGAGTAAAAATGTTCTAAAAAGTAAGTAAAAAATATAATTAATTTAATATTCAAAACCAAAATTTAATTATATCATAATATATTTTTCAAAATTATTCTTTATTTTATCATTATAAAAAAATTTTCTATTTATTTAAATCATCAGATTATTAGTTAAATATTTTTTAGCTACTATTTATATTTAATATTTCTTTTCATTATATTTCATTAGTTTTATCTTAATTAAATAAGTCATCTTCTGATTTATTACTAATACTCTATTTTTTAATGATTTTTACAATTATTACAAATAATATTATAATCAGGTTTTTTTTTAATTTACATCTTTAGTATAAGTAAATTGACCTAAACTTATTCAAAAAATTTATTTCTTATGAAATCTATCTTTAAATAACTTATTAAGATAAACATTAATTGATTAAACAACCATCAAAAATGATTGTTAAATCAGTATTTGCATTAATGCAATATTTTTAATATCATTTGTTTATGACTTTTTAAACTATCTATAACAAGAACACTTTATTTTTTATTAATTCCATTCCATCCAGTCTTTTTTCCCAAACTTTATTGAACCAAGTTTTCATTTCAAACTCATTAATTCATCCTTTTGGATGTATTAATACAATGATTTCAGAAGGTATTTTTTTACCTTTAAAAATATCAATTAGTAGTAATTTTATATCATCTGCAAGCACTGTAATAACACATGTAAACTGATTTTTTTTCATTTCCTGTTATTCGTATTTTTACAGTTTTTACATCATGTTTTTAATTTCAAAAAAGATCATACCCAATTTTATTTTTTATTTTTCAATAATAAACTGTTGAAATTCTAAAAGTTTATCATCAAGATAAGCAGGAAAATTTTGATCAATCTTTGTTTTATACTGCAAAGCAAAGCCATATCTTTTAAGGAAATGATGAAACCATTGATCTGAAGTTAAAAATCTTTTACCATTTATTAGCAAATAGTTTGGTTGGTTAAAAGTTCTTTCATGTAAAATTTAACCTTTTAGAAGTTACAGCAAGTCCATCTTTTTTCTGCTTTAGAGTAATGTACTTTTCTTCCAGTACCAATTCGTCAATTATTGCTTCTTGCAGATTTGAATTTTTCTTTTTTTTTTCTCCTAACGAGAAATCATTGAGCAGCCACTCTTAAAACCATGTAATTTTGCATATCGCAAAATTTCAAGCGAACTTTAGGCATTAAAAGTGGAAATAGAAATTTGTCGTCATCGATTTTATGCTGATCATCGTTAATTTTCGCAGAATCAAAACATTTTTTCAAGGTAAAAAAAGTCGTAAGTTTTTTTTTTAAAAAAGGCAAATATTTTTGCAAATAAAGTAATACCACAATTTTGAAAGGTGGTGTGGTGCTTAAAATCGGGAGGGTACGGTACGTGGTATTTACGTCATTAATAAATGACTTCTTTCGTAAACAATATACAGTATATATACTACAGAAACAATTATTCTTAACATTCAGCGATAAAATATATCCGATAACCCATGCATGAATTATTTAAACAATTTTAAATCATGATTTTAGTGTAACGGAGATATTTGTAGTACTGATGGAACTGAATAAAACAAAGACGAATTTGTACGTGAAGGATCATACCATATACCAATAATCTCAATAAATTATCTGGCTGCAAATTATTTAAGATTTAATCAATCACAGTCTTCTATTTATAACTTAAATTATTTTTTTTACAAATAGAATTTTTAATACATGCAAGTTGGGCGTAATCAATGAATTTTTTTTTGAGTCCATAGTCTAAGAATATTAAACTTGGACTCAATTTCACTAATTTCTTCTGTAATATTTTTTCCTAACATTTGTTTATATTCTTGTTTAGAAACTTCAATTTCAGAACTTAATATTTCAATTGTCTTTTTTGTACTAAAAAATATTTCAAAAATTTCTTGAAAAGCTAAACCAAGTTTACCACCATTAGGACCCATAATAATCTTTCTTTCGTCTCGATGAACGTGTGTTATTTGTGGTTGCGATTTAAGCATTGATTCAAGATCATATATCACATCTATATCCACGATTCGTTTTTTGAGACTCGTGCGCACTATTATTATTATTTTTTCATAAAAAATGTAAAGTTAGCTTTACTATGGGTTATTTACGTAGTTTAATAAGAAAATATACTTACACCCATTAACTAACTTGTAAAGGATTGGACCGAAACTGCTTTCTGAACAATATATATCAGTAATTTCAATGTAACCACCTGGTTTGGTTATCCTATATAAATAAAGTTTCGTTAAACTGTAAAAAAAAAAATATCAAAACAATATTATAATACCTAATAAGCTCAGATAAAACAAAATCCCATTGGTTTCTTTGCAAATCATAAACCAATGTATCTTGATGTACAAAATCAAATTCATTATCAGGAAATGGTAATCCATCCAATATATCTGCTTTGATAAAATTTAGATTTGGAGGTTTTATCTATTAAAATTATTTTTAAATGTTAATTCCTTTATTTATATCTTACTATTGTACTCTTAAATATTTTACCTCTTGCGGATATATTGCCTGATAATCAAGTCCATAAAAGTGAGAATTCTCATATTTAGTTGACAGATCTAATAACCATGTTCCAGCACCACATCTTGAAAATTGTAAAATTTATGTCAAAAAATATATTATTGAGATAGTTTCTAAATTGTTATCCACTTACGCAACATCCAAAACTTTATCTCCTCCTTGAACCAGTCTTTCTTTAATGGGTGAAGAAAAATCACTTTGAAATAAATGACTTTTAATAAAATGATATGAGTAATTTTCAGCAATATAGTCAACATCACTCGCCAAATTACGATTTAATAGTTCCTCTTCGTGGGAATTTATTTGCACCTTTTCTGGTATATTTATATTTAATTTATTACCACTCGAATTCTTATTACCCATCACCTATGAAAAATTAATATTAAAGACTAATAAAATAAGAAGTATTCTATTGTTTAATTATGAACAAAATTCTTTTCTAAAAGAAAGGAATTTACTTTATATATACGATTTTTATTTATTTGCTTTTTTATGTACGCTTGATTATCCGTGCTTTTAAAAATGGCTTGTAACGATTACTTAATCTCGCATTATTTTTTTAAGTAATGAATTCTCATATGCAGTAATATGTAGTAGTTTATATTTCTACTAAAAAAAGATATTATTTGTATACAAATTTAAAAATTGCGCACTATAATTAAAAAACTAGAATTTTGCATTGTCGATCAATTGAGTGTATAATTTGATGTTAGGGTTAGTTTATTGTTAGGTTAGGTACAAAAATATTCTCAAAGTAATTTCACGTGATATACTATACTCATTTGAAACGATGTAATGTCAGTCAGAGACAAGAGTGTGCTAAAATTCCGGGCCAGCAAGGAAGATTACGTAAGCACACTGTCTAATAATGAAAAGCAACTAACGATTTTTTCTCTTTGAAATCAGATGGATTTTTATTGTGTATATTATATTATATTCTTTAAACAATTTTAAAGGAAATTCGCAATGTATGAAATTTAACGTCTTAAGTCTTTTTCTAATTGGTTGAAAAATTGATAATAAGTATGATCGAAAAAAAAACTATCCAATAATAAAGAAATTAAATATGAGTAGCAATTATATCAATATAAAATAACGAAAGCAACGAAAGGCAAATATTAAAATGTAGTTATTTGATGGTTTTATCTTTTCATATATTCAGAAAGTATACAGATTTCTTTATTTTTAATAAAAATTTGTAACTCTCTATTAGAAATTTAAAACAAGTTCTAAAGACCTTTAAGCTTCTATTATAGAAATGCCACCTCTAAGCAACCCTTTTGAAACTGAGATTATCTTGGATCATTTTTGCAGGCAGTGTTAGCGTTCCAAAGAAGCAACGGTAAGTAATTTTTTTTTTACTTAATGTAACATCATTTTCCGTAGGGAAGTCTTCCTAAGTTTTATTTATAACTTTTTTATCGAATATATTAATACTTATAATTGTGATTTTCGGATATACGATTAGTTTCGGATTAAAATTTCTGCATTGGAAGGTTTCGGAGTTTTGGAAAAATTGCATCACCAGGCGAAACCTCTTTCGGACAGTTTCGGTTTCGGCGAAAGGTTTAGATCATTAGATCAGAAGTAGATTTATTAAAGAGGGAATAAAATTTTATATCATTATGTTTTTTGAACCCATAATCTTAAAATAATAAGCTCAGGTCTGGTTTCTTTTAACTCAGCTGTAAGTTCATCTCCTATCATCTTTTTATAATTTTCTTTAGAGACTCCCATTTCAGAACTTAAAATTTCAGTCGTCATTTCTGTGCTACCAAATGTTACCAATGTCTCTTGACAAGCTATCCCAATTTTACCACCATTAGGTCCCAAAATATACTTTCTTTCATCTCGATGAGCTTTTGTTATGTCTGGGTGTGATTCAAGCATTGATTCAAGATCATGTATTACTTTTATGTCCACATTTTGTTTTAAGAGAGACGAATAAACTATATTTAAATGAATAATTTTTATGATATTTTTTAGTACACGTAAATTTTTCCGGAAATGATGCTTTAATAATAATAATTTTAGCAAGTGAAAGAAGGGGTTATCCACTTATGACTGTAAAATAACTCTGCAAAGTTGGAATTGTTTCAGAAATTTCAATATATCCACCTAATGTAATATCAGAAGGATATTTTTTCCTAACACAGAGCAGTAGATCGGACCATAAGAGAGTATTTGTTGCAAGTGTTTTGATGATCCATGTCGACCAAATTTTAATTACTTTTAACGAATTAACGAATCAGCGAATTCGGGAATGACAATTTTATCGTCTTACGATTTTCCCAATTAGGAATAAAACACCCTCAGAAATCTTCACTACGATAAATTTCTGCCGATCATATCCGAATTGGCAATTAAGGTCTCTTTTTTATTACTAATACATGTAAAACTTTGAACACACAATACTATTGGCATAATATGAGATACTTGCCAAAATCAAATGATAAAATGAAACATTCACATTTATTTTACCCAAAAAGATAGTCGTACAAATTACTAAACTTCTCTTTAACCATCACTACAAAGTTCCGAACTCTAATCGCAAATGAGAAGTAAGTTAAACCCAATTTATCTGAAATGATTAATGAGTACATAATTACTTACTTTGTAGCAATATCTTGGGCCATAGACTTGATCCAATTCCAGAGATTCTTAAAGAAGTTGATAATGTCATTGAATAGTTCAGAAAGCCAATTCGCGAGACGACCAATAATGCTCATACCCCAATAAACAAAGGTTTTGTATGAGTTAAGGTGTTTTTTGTAATCTTATTAGTATACAGTATATAGATATTAGGCATGGTGATTAATTATAGCATTACCAACTAACTGGGGGTTTACCTTCACACTTTTTTTCATATTCTTCGTCCTTTTCCTTGGGAATTTTAATCGGCTTCTTAGGTTTCTGTTTAATGACGTAATCTTCCAGTTCCTTAGATTTCTTAAGGAATAAAGTGTTGAGATTATAGAACGTATTATGCACATGCTGTTCTATCTCATCCTCGTTTAGGTCTTTAATTTCTTCCTTGATTTTTTCAGCCTTCAATAGAAGGATATTCATAGTAAGATAAATAAGTTTAATATAAATATATTTCTTGCCAATTGCTACGATATAAAACCTTTTGTTCAAACTCGCTCTCGGCTTCTGACTGCAACCTGAGGACATTTTCTGCAAACTCCCCTTGCTCTCTAGACTGTAGGTCATGGATTGTAGTAATAGTAGTCATTTTGAAGTTATAATCGGACCGCATACTCGTATGTTAGCCTATTTATACCATATCGGCGTTTGTATGTGCCATTACTGTTGAAAAAGTTCGGGAGTTTTAGTCCGTGATTGGCGTGATAAATGCTGTCATATGGGGTTGGGGTCCCAATAAAAGGCTAGTTATATGATAACGTTACGTAATTTCAATGAGATGCAGAGCAAACTAGTTCATATATAAAAAAACGTTTAAATAATAATTGCGGTCTTTTAAAGGCTAAAATAAAAATAAAGGATTGAATTAGGATTAATATCACCTGACGCATTAAACTTAATTATATAATGTGAAATTTAAAAAATAAACTATATATGGTCAGAACATAGTAAATTATATGATCTGTAACGTGATTTCAATATCCCATACTGGATACAGCTAAAAAATTAATATCAACGTATTTATTTTAACATTCCAGAATCCTTCAAAAATTGAACGAAATTGTAAGGAGTTCATTTTCTAACAGAAAATTTTATTTCCATAATTCCTATTAAAAAAAATATTAAAATCTGTGAATTCTGTAACGTAACAATATTAATTGTTGTTTACAAATGAATTAACCAGTTAACCCAAATTTTTTTCATCAAACCAATCAAAAAAATTAAAATTAAAAAATTATATATATATATAGGGAAAATTTCCAGCTTATTCATTGTCTAAAAATGAGTAAATTAATAAATTTCTTTCTTTCTCTCCTCATTTTTATTGTTTTTTATTTTTTAGGAAAAAAGAAAATATTACGATCCAATTTGTCCATAATTAAATAATAACTTCATCAATTATGAGTATGTGCAAACAAAATCCATCGATGAGAAATTGCCGGACTTGAACTGTTATTTAGCGAGCGATATTGACTATGTTGAAAATATACATGCATTTCATTTTGTTAAAAGACACTTATATCAAAGT